AGCCGCCGCACCCGAGAGCACCGCCGTCGGTAAGCTTCGGTTTTTCGTAATTTTTTTGGCCCTCGAGGGCCCTAGGGTTGTTTTATCGCAGGGACTGATGCAAGCGTGGCCGAAAACGGCCAACACGAGGCGAATCGCCGCTGCAAGTGACGGCACCGTCGTCGGAGCACGGCGGAGCCGCTGTGCCGGAATTGCGATATTGGCCGAAAGGGGCCTGGGTCTAATTTGGAATTTTTTGGGACACGTGCAAGTACTAGTAGTGCATTTCAGTTCTCCGGAAAAAAAATTCAGGAAAAATTAGGGACAGCCTGTAGGCACACTGTAGAGCCGTATTCAGACCCCGAAACAAGTAAGGACCCCTCACCCTATTTTCTATCACGGTATTAAAGTTCAATAAATGATAAAATGGTATTTCATGAATCAATAGATGTGTGAAATTATTTAAGGTCGCTAATGGAGCTCGAGTCTGGTGTGTTTGTCGGTCAGCTGTTGTTTGGCATATTTTACAGTTTTTAAATGCAGTATGAGGTCTGATGTTTTCATTTCATAGTTTCGTGTGCATATATCACTGTTTTATTGATTATGGATTGAATGACTGAGAACCCGATGTTGTATGTTGTCTTGTTTGGCATAAATTACTGGTTTGCTTGTTTGTGTGTGATTTAATGATGCTGATTGAGGAAAAGGAGAATGAAAGGTTATGTAAATTGATAATTGTATAATGTGGTCAGCCTGACTAGATATCTTGAGAGATGGTGGACGGATCGGGTCCGTGGGGAACCCTACCGGGATTGTGGTCTCTCATACCGGACGGGGTATGAATACCTTATGTGTTTTGGCGCCCATACCGGACGGGGTATGGGGACGGCCCGTTTCACCCTCATACCGGACGGGGAATGGGGAGGGCCCGTTTCACCCTCATACCGGACGGGGTATTGAGGTTTATAGTTTTGGCGCTCATAACGGATGGGGTATGGGGACGACCCTGGAATCTGATTACAAGTGTTAAGGGTTCACGGGTAGCGGGACCCCTATGGATCCCCATGGATACTAGTAGGCTGGTAAATGAGGAAAAATATGTTGTGTAATGATTGAAATGCAAAAGGCGTGATAAGTATTATGTTATACAGTTCATATGATTTCATGATGATGATAATGTTATTGCTTTCGTATGTTGTTTTTATGAACTTCACCGAGGTAAGTGGATAGCAAAGGATTTTATTATTAATAAAAGAATTTGTTGTAAATTATGCTCCATTGGTCTTTTTGTGTTTTCTACCCACCTTTACCTCCGTGACGGTGAGATAGTGTGATGTCTTTACTGGGCTGGTGTAGCTCATTCTTTATTTAACCATTTCAGATCAGGAAAACATTGTTCCCGAACCCGTTCCGCAGGAAGACGGCGAAGGGGACGCCTAAAGACTCCGTAGTGATATTTACAGTTTTTATTTTCGAGTTTCTCTTTTAGTTAGTTTGTTCTTTTATGCTTTGAGTACGTTTTTGGTTTTAGTGTAAAAGATGTTAACCAAAATTTTTATTTCGCTTTCGCATTTGACATTTTTAATACACACATTTCATTTTAAAATTTTGGGGCCGTTACATATATATATTACATAAAAAATATTTATATGATGTTTTAAAATCATTGATGATATTTAATAATTTTTTTTTAGTTTATTCCATTAAATTGAGATATATTTGCAAAAGATAAATTTTATGTATGAAATTTAATAAAATATTTAGATCTATTTTCACAATGATATAAAACAAAATGTTACAGTTAGTCTTTAAATAAAAATGATATATAAAAATATTTTTCATTGAATTTTGAAAGAATAATTATATTTAATTAATCCAAATTAGTGTTAATTTTTTGGAGGAAGTCATATGGGAACCTACATAATCGGGTAAATAATGAAGATTGTATTAAATTAAAAACATTTATTAATTGAACAGTCCAAAAATTAAAGACTGAAAATTATCTAAATTAAAAAATAAAAAATAAATAAAAACGTCAAAGAGCTAATCTTGGGCTGTAAAGTGAGAGCCCAGCTGGTGGACCATTTTGAATAAAACTCATCTGCCACTCAAGAATATTAAGAAAAAAAATGTATTTTAATTAATTTATTAATTTCTTATTTTATTTAGAATTTGACATATTTTAAAAATATATATTTATGATATGGTTTGATATTTGATATATTTAAATTAAGGATAAATAATAGAAAATGTGGAAAACATAAAAAAATTAAAAGATAATACATATTATACTCTTAAGATCAACAATTTTATTCATAATGACATTAAAAAAAAAAAAAAAAAGGGATGATTATCAAATGATTATCACGATTTGCTTCGCCTTCCATCATGGAGCTATAAAGTACTGAATAACTTTACATATTTAAAATGACAAAAATACCCCCACAAAACTTACAGAGACGCTCCTGGTTCCTGCTATAGTTGAAACGACAACGTCCAAGTTGTGTTTTTAATTGACGAAAACGAAGGGTAAAACTGTAAATAGAAGGTGGTTAGTTTTTATAAGGTTACAATTCACGTGAGTCTCCCGAGCATTAATCTAACCGCATGAACAAAACTGTCCAGCGTCTCGCTTTTTCTAGTGTATGATTTCGATTTGAGCGGTATGTGGAAGGAAAGTTTTAGGTGTTCTCCTCATACACAATCTTAAATGCTCTCACTTGTTTATCGCCGCACATCTTCACACTTGCATGGTAGATGATTTTTTCTAAAAACAAAAAAAGATAAAAGTGAGTTCAATTTTTTTAAAATTCAAAAGTTTTTTTTTTTTTTTTTGGGTTTTACTAGAAAACTAAATGGTTAACCAACTATGCTTTTGTTGAATAATTTGTACATTTTAATTATTTTAAAAAATCATTGCATCATGGTTTCTTAAATTTTTAGTTATTATTTTTTATTGTCTCATAATTAGTATTTATGTATCATAAAATTAATTAATATTTAAATTTTTAATTAATAAAAAATCAATTATGGTAGAAAAAGCATTTCGTAATATTTTACAGTAAGAATTATAAGTTCAAAAATCAAGAAAATTAAAGTAATATTAACCTTTAAATCCCAAAGATATATATTTGTTATTATAAACAAAAAAGACAAAAAAAAAATGACGTGCTAAATCCACTTACGTGGTCCATAATCCCGAGGTAAGGGGTGGTTCTTTCAGTGGGACCACCCGCAGCAATAGCCAACAGGTGGGCCCCACATTAATTCCCCAGTAAAATTAGCAAATGCATGGGGGTAGTTCGGTCATTACGTACTTCAAGAGAGAAATGAAGGAACTCCAATTGTGCTCTCCCATATTATTATTTATAAATTATGTTATATTGATGTATAAATATTAATTAATTCATGAACATATAAATATATAATTTAAGAAATTTTAACTATTAATGTAAATTGACTTAAAAATATGTAAAGTAAAAAAATAAAGTACAAAATATTAAATTATTTTTTAAAAAATATGATATGGAAACTGCAACCGGATTAGTTCAAAATTTAATAAGAATGGTATGGTAAAATACCAAAAATGCAACGTGATTGGTGCAGACTTGCAGAGATGAAAATGGAATAACAAATTTTTAACATTGAAAAAATTAATTAAAGATAAAAAAAAAGAAAAAGCCAGCAAAAAAGCTTGAATCTTAAGCCTTCTTCTCAAAATTTAATCACAGATTGCTATGTAAAACTTCATCTTTTGAGTAGTTAAACAATAATTAATTAACTTTAGACTACGTTTAATCGCAGACTAATTATATTATATGCAATGCTAGTAGAATATAGCTATATATCTATATATATTACAGGAATGTCAGATTACTCTCTCTCACAGAGGGATTCATTGTGATATATTATATACCTAATTTCTGTCTTTATGCATGTTGTTGCTTCTCACACCCTCTTTGGGTCTTATCTCTGCACCTGAACAGAGAGAGAGAGTCACCACGTTGGTGTTCTGACCCAATTAGCTTCTTTCAGTACCACCCCATTTCCATGGGCAAACTCAGTTAGTCAAGTCATCTCCTTTCTGCTTGTCTTCTTCTCCATCTCCGAATATCACAACTTGGCCCCACTCTCATATTTTTCTTCTCTGTTGGGTTTCTCGAAAATCGTGTATATACTTTTTTTCTTTAATGTTGCAGGGTTCAAATTCTTGAGTTCTGAGGTGGGTTCTGTGTAGTTTTCTTATTTAGGGGTCATGGCAGATCGCTGTGTTCTCGAAGTGGATGTAAATGGCGAAGAGACTTTCCTTGTGGACAAGGTATAATCACTATTTGATTATTCTGCTCTTGTTGTGTCAATGTCTGTCACCTGTTTGGTGTTTTGCCTATCTGGGTTTTTGTTCTTTTGCTCTGGTTTCTGATTAATGCTATGTGTTTTTAGATGATTTGTATTGCTTAACTCCTTTTTCTTTTTCTTCTGTTATTCCCAATATCTTCTTCCCATCATTTGTACCTCCAGAAGTAAATTTGCTGCTATATGGTTTTCAAAATGGGGCAAATATACAGCTTAGAGGTTTATATCCTCCCTGTCATGTGATTGTTTTCGTGCACCATTTTCATCAACTACAAATATGTAGAGCCTTCTTCTTTTTATGTTCTGTTCCTTTCCTCTCATTTATTGCCGGTTTAATGGCGGATTGTGACATTCATAACTTCATTATTTGTCATATTCTCACTCCTTTTGAGGACTTATGGGGTTGCTTTCATGGATTTTAATACTGTTCATTTCCCTCCTTGGCTGGTATATGTCAAGTAGACATCTCTTTTATTGGCATTGTTCATCTGTCTAAAAACTTTTGCAGGCTCCTTGTGTAGATTTCCAATTTTAATCCTGCTTTTTCTCTTTAAATATATTTTCTTGAATTAAATTAGTTACTGGGTCATTTCTTTTATGCCCCCTCAACCACTTTAAAGTGAGTTTTCCCTTTGAAACCATCAATAAGGTTTTCTTTTGATCTATAAGCTAGTTTTTTGTCCATGTATATTCTTCATATTTGCTTTTGATGTCTGGTATTGCAATCTTGTAATGTCAATTAGTATATCATTTAAATCTGATTCTATTCAGTCATCGATAACTACAGAAGATTATCTCTGCATATTCGGGGAAATTTAGCAAACTGTTTGCTAAATCTACATGTTCTAAGAGAAATCTGAAAGTAATATTCAATGAGTTTCCAGGAGGAGTAGAGAGTTTTGAGCTCATCTCAAGGTTCTGTTACAACAATGGCAGAATTGATGTAACCCCTTCCAATTTTTCCCTCCTGCTTTGTGCTGCAGAATTCATGGAGATGACTGGTACCCATAACTTATTGGAAAAGACAAAGAAATCAATAGAAGAGATCAGCTACTGGACTTGGCCTGAGCTTTTGATTGCTTTGAAACAGCAGCAGCATTTACTTTCTGTGAGTCCTAACTCTTCAGTCATCCTTGAGAGATGCTTGGATTCTCTTGTTGGGAGATTGGGTTTATCCCTGGAAACAAGCCCTTCTGCATCTACTTCTTCCCCAGATAGCTCCGGCTTTCGATTTTCCTGTGACACAAAAAGCACTGAGAGTTTGAAGAACAGCTTTTCGCGGGCAACCTGGTGGTTCGAGGATCTTTCAGTTTTTAGTCCTAATTTGATTGAAATGGTTATAAAATCAATGGTTTCTCACAAATTGGATCATTCTGTGATAAATAGATTTCTCTTATATTATCATAAGTCAAGGATTTACTCTTCCTCATCAGTTGAGAAGCGCAAGATTGTAGAAACTGTCATTGATATGCTCTATATTCTTGATAGAAGCTCTGTGTCATGCAAGAGTTTATTTGGTATTCTCCGGGTTTCTCTTGGTCTTAACATCTGCAAGAGTTGCAGAAACAAGTTAGAGACCATGATTGGTTATCAAATGGGTGAAGCTACACTAGACAATCTGCTGATTCCACCTCCATATGGGACCAGTTACTTGTATGATGTGAATCTAGTACTTCGATTTGTCAAGGCGTTTCTCTCCAGAGGAGGCTGTCGTCCATCTATTCCACGATTGAAGAAAGTTGCAAGCTTGGTGGATTTGTATATGTCAGAAGTAGCCCCAGATCCTTGCTTGAAACCTTCTAAGTTTCTGGCTCTAGTCCTGACCTTGCCGGATTCTGCCAGAGACTCTCATGACGCAATCTACAGCGCTATGGACATGTATCTAGAGGTATTATGATTTCTTTTACAAGGGCCAATTTGCTTGCCGAATTCATACTCAAACTACATAAATATGTAAATTGAGTTTGACCAATCTGTTGTTTGAGCTGCTTGAAGAATTTTTAGGTTAACCCATAATCATATATTCTGTTCTTAGATTGGATCTGGTTTTTATAGGTCCATACAGGATTGTCTGAAGAAGAGAGAGTGAAGATTTGTTGTGCATTGAACTATGAGAAATTGTCAGCTGAAACTTGCATGCATCTTTCTGGGAATACGAAATTTCCATCAAAAACTGCAGTTCATGCACTGATTTCTCAGCAATCCAAACTCAAAAGCCTACTTCGTTGCACCAAGAACTCTCATCCTTCTACCAATTCACCTTGCTGGTTGTCTGCGATTACGAGTAAAGAAAATTACAAAGACGAAGCCAGTAAACAGGTTGTGCTTTATGCTGGGAAACTTGATATTACAGCTGACAATGAAAAGCTCAGAGCACATTTGAAAGGCATGCAATGGAGGGTGACAGAATTGGAGAAAGTATGCAGGAAAATGCAGAATCAGATGGGAAAAATTATGAGATCAAGAATCTCAAGCCACACTAGTCCCAAATCTTTACCCAGGCTTTGCTCATGAATTAAGTTCTATATACTATCTGCTTCCCTACTATATATATATATATTTCATCTATGTATATTAGGTAGCCTGAGAAATTGGGCATTTTTCTGTCTATAAAGTTTTTTTTTCACTTTCTGCAGAAATTTAAAGGGGCCTAAGATATATTTTTCTTTTCTAATATAAGATTGAACTATTTGTTGTACAGTTACAGAGAATTTGAAATAGTAATGAGTTTCATAAATAAAATACATTTTGTACGTAACTAACTTCTCATGGTCATATTGGTATCTTTATATTGATAATAACATAACTTTTTATTCAGTACACTAGTAAAATAATTTCGTAACAATCGAGACCTATAATGCAAGACTCAAACCCATACACCAATATGAGTGTATACATACACATTTATAGCAGCAGCAGTACATATATATATATATATATTTATGTATGACAGAGGCAGTCCATTTTTGATAGGGAGAGTGGAGGAATCTTTGGGACTCTTTACCCAGCAGCATCGTCTTCTTTAAAGGTTTGTTACCTAAAAATTGGGTTCACATCTTTTTCAGAACTGAAATTAATTTGTCATTATATGGGTTTTAATAAAAGTCAACTTCCAGGATTTATTTATTTTTTTTAATTTGAAATTGTGATTGTATAAATTTAATTAATTATTATAAAATATTTGGAAAATTCCACTAAAGGAATATAATGGGTAGCAGCAATCTGACATAACTTAGAAATTAAGGGAATGCTGAGAAGCAGGTGGAAATAGGAGCAGATTCAACGTGAGGTTGAGATCGGGTCCGACCAAGAATATTTAACAAAAATAATTTAAATTAATATTAAAATGATTAAGTTGGGTATAAATAAGTTAAAAAAATAACTCAAAAATAATTTTAATTAATTAATTAAATTAATAATAATGTTAAATTTATTTTTATTGTTTTTAATTTACTAATTAGTTATTAATTATTTTTTAAAGTATCCAAATATTATTTTAACCATTGTACATTTTTTTATTAGAAAATAAAGAAAACTAAGTACTTAAAATAAAATAAATAGAAAACTATATGAATAAAATTCATGAAAAAAAATATATATTAAGAATCATATTGTAACAAATGTGAAATTTTGGAAATTTATTTAGTAATTTATCTAAAAATTTATTAGAATTAAAAATATTATTTAAAATACATAAATGATTTTTTAGATATTTTCTCATTATTTTTAATTGCTAACTTAATTAATTAATCATTAATAGCGGGTATAAATTTGAATTATGTAGGAAATTTGGGCAGACAAGCTTTTTGATGGCTCTTTGCAATTAAATGAAAGGTATGATAATCGGGGTTTTAGTTATTCCTTAACAAGAATAGACAGTGATAATTTGATAATAATTGCGGTAATATTATTAATAATAATAATCATGATGATGATAATGATAATGATAATAATAATAATAATAATAATAATAATTAAATAATTATAATTATATTTTTATTTTTAGATAGATAAAAGATTATTATATTTATTAGATAAATCATTAATTATGTAACTATATTATGAATTAATTTATAATTATTAATTTAATAAAATTAAAATTTTAATTTATTATTTTAGTGTTGAAACCACAGTAAAATATAGTTTAAAAGAATATATTGTACTTTTGAATAAAAAGAAAATTCAATAATAATTATATTTTTTATTAAAATAATTACAACAAATTAAATATCTAATTTAACTTTATTAAGCATTAAGTAACTCTATAATAATAATTTTTTAATTTTTTAATTAAACTATTGTCATGGAACTGAGAATTGATATCATAATCTAGAATCTTCAGACAACAATAAAATGTTCTTATAATATATGTTTTCTCAGTGGAGTACGTACCAGGTTTGGTTAATTATATATACTTATTTATATATATACATACATGTTTGGTGGACACAATGTGAGGCGAATTGCTGAAGAACCCGCAAGACCATCCGCTTCTGAATTCCTTAAACGCTACTCTTCTTTATTTTCAAGGTGAGGCATAAACATATACATATACATGTACATATACATATACATATACATATATATAATATAAACTATAAATTGTTCATTGCAAGTTCCAAAATATAAATTCATACAATTAAGTATATATATATATATATATACATATGTGAACCGAAGCTGCAAAAAGTATCACCTAAATACATTATTAATCAACAAATGACGTCAATTTAACTCTTAATTTCTATATTACATGTCTAAAAATTTATAACATTACATTCATCAACTTCTTGTATTATTATATTAGTTTTAAAAGATTAACACGTAATTTTTAAGAAATTAAAAATAATTTGAAAAAAATGAGTAAAAATTTACGTTATTGGATATTTTTGAAAGAAAAATCGAAAATCGGGAGTCAAAATATAATTTAAAAAAATTGTGCAACGTAGGATGCCCAGTCAGCAGTCCCGACGAATCGAAGTGCGCTGCGTGGCAAGCTACGTTGACGCGGGAGGCCACGCTGGCGATTCCCATGCCCGCGTTTGGACGGTCCAGATTTGTTCCCGCGCGCACGGCCGGTCCAGATCTGTTCTCTCCCCAGATGCGATCGGACGGTTAGATTTAGACACGATAAATGATTCAGATCCACTTCCTATTTAAACGCGATCGTACGGTTCATATCAGATCGCGATGAACAGTTCAGATTCACTTTCAACTTAATTGCGATCGGACGACCCATATGAAACACAATGGACGACCCATATTAAAAGGGGACATATATAAATAATCTTTTTCACACCAAACCCTAACCCTAACCGTCAGGCCCCCCTTTCCCTCACCAAATAAGAAAACCCAGCTGCAGGGAAGGAAGCCGACTGCCACCGGCACGGCTGTGGCGCCGGAGCCACTTCTGAACGCCAAAAGAGGTAAAAATTTTCTAATTTGCTCAAAATTCGATTTTAAACACCCCCATGGCTAAATTGTAGCAAAAGAACCAGCAGATTGGCCAGAAACCGCGAGCAAAGTCCGGCGATGCCGCCGCAGGAAATTGTAAAAATCGCCTCCGATGAGACCCTTTCCGATTCTCGTTCTAGGTAACTCTTCCACCATTATAATCATTGTTTCCTTTTCTACAGGTTGACCGAAATAAAACACCCAACCGCGAAGGTGAGCCGGCAGAGCCATCGCATCAGAGAAACCCGCCGCCAGTGAGTTTTGGTTTTTTAATTTTTTTGGGCTAACTGAGGCCCCTTAACGTATTTTCTCGCAGGAATTGGTACAAAATCGGCTGAATTCGGTCGAAAACAGCCAAAAACGGCCGACTCGAGGCAAACCACTGCTGCGAAAAAATATGTTTTGGCAAAAAAGGGTTCCTAACACTGATTTTGGGGTTTTTGGGATATTTTTAGGTATTTAAAACGCGTTTTAATCCCTGAAAAAAAAATTCAGGGAACCTGGGGACTGCAAATAGACGCAGTCAAAAGTTTAGCATTTTGGACATCAATTTGCGTAAGAATTCATCACTTTATTCCTTGTTATGGAATTAAAGTTTAATTTTAAATAATATGGTATTTTGTGAAACTTAGAAAATATTTATAATTAATTACAAGTTATTAATGGAGCTAGAACCGGTTATTTACTATTGTTTGCTATATTTAACCGATTGCTTGATGTTACAGTTTTTGAGTGCATGATAATATACTGAAATTGGTATGATGATGTGATTGTATTCCTTTGATGCATGTTTTGCTTGTTTTGTGTGACTATGTTGAATTGGAAAACTGGAAATTAAAGAAAAAAATAAAATTGTTTGATTAAGTGGATGGATGAAACGGTAACCTTACTGGATATCTTGGGAGATGGTGGACGGATCGGGTACGTAGAACCCTACCATGAATATTGTCTTATACCGTACGGAGTATTGAGGTTTGATAATTGAGTGTTTATACTGGAAGAGGTATGGGGACAACCCATTTCATCCTCATACCGGACGGAGTATTGAGGGATGGTATCTTTTGGTGCTCGTAGCGGATGGGGTATGGGGACGGTTCGTTAATTGTAAAATGTAAAAAGAGGGTTCATGCATAGTGGAGACATCCCTATGGACACACATGGATACCAATAGCTTGATAAAAGGAAAGGTTGTTATTCCGACTGATCGTATATGAAATGATGATGTGTGTTATGTTATTGACTCTATAGGTTGTTTTTAGAAACTACACTATGGTAAGTATGTGATAAATGATTTTATTTATGACATACGAATTTATTTAAATTAAGAGCTCAATTAGCTATTTTTATGATTTCTATCAACCTTCATTTATGTGTTGGTGAGTAGCGTGATATTTTTATTGAGCTAGTGTAGGTCACTCTTTCATTAATCATTTCAGATCAAAAGGACCAAGATCCAGAGCCCGATCCACAAGAGAGTTGCGAGTAGGACATTTCGTTTGTTTACTTTTAATTTATTTCTTTGGTTATTAGTTGTTCTTTTACAATGATTATTCCTATAAGTCCTATTTGGTACTTTCAGTTATTGTGTAAGGAATGTAAACCCTAATTTATTATTTCACTTCCGCATTCAATTCATATTTATTTCCTTTCAAGTTCACGGGTCGTTACAAATATAATATAAGATAAGATGTCAATTAGTAAGTTAATGTTACGTCGTCTGATTAATTAAAATTTGTTCAATTACGAAAGAAACAATCAATTTTTTGGATATACTATTGGGACTTCTGTGCCCATCCTCGTATTTGTAATGACAATGTGAAATCCGAACTAGGTTAACTGCAATCTCCATGAATGGTTTATTGAAAATGGAATGGTTTGATTGATCTTTGTTCATCTTCTTCCAGGTTTCATCAATCAATTTTATTATGTGTTCCCGAGCAGATTCCATTGTGACTCCAACTTCATTCATGTAGCAATGCAATGCATTCACAAGTTCCCCACTTTCCAATTCAGCTTGTAATACATCACATATAAATTATTCTTTTCATGTATAACTTTTTACCAAATTATTGTTTATATAATATGAAATTGATAGAGATAGACGCAGCTGATCAAATCATATTACACATTTCTATATATTTTGTTTAAGAGATTGTATTATGATTAGATTAAATATAACGACCCCGAAAATTTAAAAAAAGAAATGTATATAAAGAATATAAGTGCGGAAGTGAAATAAAAAGTTCTGGTTAATATCCCTTATACAATAACTTAAACGTACTAGCAATACTGAAAATAAGTCCCCTAAAGAAAAATACTGGAAATGAAAGATTATAAAAGAAACTAATAAACATCTAGGTATCTACTCGCCGTCTTCTTGTAGATCGGACTCGGGAACCAAGTCTTCCTGATCTGAAATGGTTAAGTAAGGAATGAGCTACACTAGTCCAGTAAAGACATCATACTATATCACTGTCATAGAAGTAAAGGTTGGTAGAAAACCAAAAACAACCAATGGAGCACAAGTTTCAAGTAAATTTATTTATCAATAATCAAACCATTTACCGTTCACTTACCTCAGTGAGATTTATAAAAACGACCCATGGAAATAATAACATCATAGATATCAAAAGTTTATACATAATCTGTAACATAGTACATATCATACTTTTATATTTCAATCATCACACAACAGTTGCCCCCTTTTTATTAGTCTACTAGTATCCGTAGAGATCCATAGGGGTCCCCGCTACCCGTGAACCATTCCCTTGATAAACTTAATTTCCAGGGCTGTCCCCATACCCCATCCGGTATGGGTGCCAAACAATAAACCTCAATACCCCGTCCGGTATAAGTGCCAAAACATTTAAAGTCTCCATACCCTGTCCGGTATGAGACAACGTTCCCGGTAAGGTTCCCTATGGACCCGGTTCGTCCACCATCTCCCAAGATATCTAGTGAGATTGTCAACTTATCCATTTATCAATTCACATACATTTTCTACTTTTTTTCTTAGTTTTTTGTTTCTCACATAAACATGAATACTTAACCAAGTAACGAGTATCCAACAAGACAAGCATATCATCATATTCATAAAATCAAGCTATAATGAAGTAAACAGTGATTCATGCATTCAAAAATCATAGAATAAATAAATCACATACCATACTGCATATAGACTGCAAAATAAATTAAACAAGAACTGACAGAGAAATATATCTGATTCGGGCTCCATTCGCAACCGTAATAATTATATATATCTATTTAATTCGTACAAATACAGTTTTATCATTTATTAGACTTTAATCCCGTGATAGGAAATAGGGTGAGGGGTCCTTACCTGATTCGAAGCCAAAAATTAGATTTTCACTGCGCCTACGGGCAGTCCCTAGGTTCCCTGAATTTTTTTTCAGGAACTGAAACGCGCTTACGGTACCTACACATGTCCCAAATAACTCAAAAATCATACTCAAGGCCTATTCGGCCAATTTTAGAATTTCGGCACGACGACTCCGCCGTGCTCCGGCGACGGCAATCCGCCTCGGGTTGGCTGTTTCTGACCGTTTTCGGCTGAATTTGGCCAAACTTACATTGGTTCCTATGAGAAAACACCCCTAGGGCCCTCGGTGGGCTGAAAAAATACCGAAAACCAAAACTTACTGGCGGCGGGGCTCTCTGGTGCGACGGCTCCTCTGGCTTGAGTCGCGATTTGGTGTTTTGCTCTGGTCAACCTGTAGAGGAAGGAACGTTGATCACAATGGTGTAAAAATTACATCGAACAGGAATCGAGATGGGCATCATCGGAGACAAAAATTGAAAAAACCTCTGGCAGCTGGGCTTTGACGGCATTTTCCGGCCAATTGGCTGGTGTTTTAGCTCTGATTTGGCCACAGGTGGGTTCAGCATTGAATTCTGAGCCAAGGAGAGAATTTTTATCTCGTTTGGCGGCCGAAAATTGCTACGATGCGGCGGCGGGTGGCGGCGGTCGGCTCTTCGACAGCTGGGCTGTTTTCTCCGGTGAGGGGCTCTGGCGGTTAGGGTTAGGGTTGAGGTGTGGATGAGATTATTTATAACCTTCCACTTTTAATCTGAGCCGTCCATCGCAATTTAATCTGGATCGTCCGATTGCGATTAAAAAAGAAATAAATCTGGACTGTTCATCGCGATACAATCTGGACCGTCTGTGCGCGTGCAATCTGGGCCGTCCGTGCGCGAGGGAACGGATCTCAGCCATTCGATCGCACGCACGCGGATCGCCCACGTGGCTCCCTTTCGCGTGGCCTCTTGCGTCAGCGTCTCTGTCACGCGGCACGTTCTGGTTGGCCGGGGCTGCTGACCGGGTAGCTGACGTAGTGCAATTTTTTTAAATTACATTTTGACCCCCGATTTTTAATTTTTTTTTTAAAAAACACCTACAGAACCTAAATTTTCACCATTTTTTCCCAAAATTACTTTAAATTAAATCTCTAAAATAATTTTACCCCTTATTATTATTATTATTATTGTTATTTCTATTAAATTAAATTAAAACCATATAAAAATTCATATATTCATATAAAAATGACAAAAAATTAAAATAAAATAATATTAATAATAATAAAAATAATTGGGGTGTTACATTAAATGTGTTACCCACTCACCGAGGCAGTAGCTAAATCATTACAAAGTTGAAAAACTACAGATGGCCAACGAATGATAGAAGGATAGGATAACAAGGAATCAATTTCCTTCTTGGAAAAATCTGGAGTTATAAAAAAGTAAGAATGAATTAGGAAAAGGGGTCCTGAGGATGACAATCATGCATTTTCCAAGTAGTCTTCAAATATGGGTATGGACTTATTATAATTCCATTTTGCTTCTTGTAAGAATGCTTTACAGATATTAGCCCATTGAAGAAGACAATGTATCAACCAAAAGTTATATAAATGTATATGTGTATACACCCATATAAGTTATTGGTTTCTTAAATGAAGATATTTTTGAGAAAAATAAATTGATTCATGTGGGTTAGGTACCGCTTTTGTGAGATAATGAAGAACAATTTCTCCTTTCTCAAGAATTTCATAAACCACATCATTGATGGTGTTGTAGAGTACTAATAAAAACAACTTCATGTAGTCAGGAAGGTTGTCATCATTCTTCACATCCCCTCTGAAATCAAATTATCACAACTTCAACAATACAACAAGCTAGAAAAAACATGTAATCATTTTCACTATTAATTTGTTTATTTAAATTTAATTATATAAATATCGTACATTAATAGATAAAAAAATTGTTAGATAACTAATTAAATCAATTCTTATAGAAACTTAAATTGATAAAAAAGTAATTAAATTATTTATATTTTAACAAGAATAAACCTATTAACTACGTATGTGAAAAGTTCAAGTTCATCTAATGTGCCATAAACATCATAAATATCATCGAAGATGGTGAGAAGAGTAGCTACTTTTGTAAGTGCTTTTCGACAATTGCTAAGTTGGGGCTCATCATCCGCCATTCCAAGCAACCTAAAGAAGCATTCCATTAATCTATCTCTTGCAAATGTAAATTTATTTGATATCCCCAAAGTAGTCCACCACCTAAACACAAACACACATACATATATAGTACGCTTAGAATATAGTAATTTCATAATTATTGACAATTCAAATTAAATTATTAGAAATTAAAATATCATAAGTAACATATCTGACCTTAACATGTCTCTCAGATTTTTTTGAAGAATTAATTGTGTCATATTGAAATCTAGATATACGAGTTGAAGTAAGTCTGGTTTTGCACCGTGTCTCTTACAATAAGCTTCAATACTCCATCGAGCTTCCAACCTTTTCATCCTGTGGTTTAGTGGAGTTTCTAGTGCATGATTTACTTCATCTGCAACTATTTGGTTCATGCCTTCTTTTTCCCTAACTTTCTTGAGACGATTTCTTGTGAATTTCTTAGTCTCGTCCAACATACTTTCTCCTTCGTTTCCGAAATAAGAAGCTTCGTAGAGTGTAATACCCAAAAATTAATTTGTAATATTCAAATTAATATATATAATTTTTATTTTTATAATTATTATTTAATATAAAAATAGAGAAAATTAAATGAATGATGAAACTGAAAATAATTTTGAGAAAAATGGGTGAAAATTTGGATTCTGATGGTATTTTAAAAGAAAATTCAGAAACTGATGGTCAAAATATAATTTAAAAAAATTGTGCTATGTAGGATCCCCAGTCAGCCGTCGCGACTAACTGGAGCGCACCGCGTGGCAAGGGACGCTAACACAGTGCCATGCGGGAGGCCACACGGGTGATCCGCGTACCCGCGATAGGACAGTCCAGATTCGTTCCCGCGCACACGAACGGTACAGATCCATTTTCGATTTAAACACGATCAGACGGTCCAGATTAAATTGCGATGAACAGTTCAGATTCACTCCCTATTTAATCACGATCGGATGGTCCAGATCAAACGCAATGGATTGCCCAAATTAAAAAGAAACAGATATAAATAATCGTATTTGCACCAAACCCTAACCCTAGCCGCCAGACCCCCGCCCCCCCCCCCCCCCCAATCGGAGAAAAAGACCCAGCCGCCGGAAGAGAAGCCGATCGCCGTCGTCGTCGCGCCAAAACGACTTTCGACTGCCAAAAGAGGTAAAATTTTTCTCTTCTGCTTAGAATTTGATTTTAAACACCCTCACGGTCAAATCAGAGTAAAAAGATCGGTGGATTGGCCGAAAATCGCGAGCAAAGTTCGGCAGCGCCATCGTAGAAAATTACAAAAAATGCATTCGATGAGGCCCTTTCTGATTCCCATTCTGCGTAATTCTTCCACCATTGTAATCACCGTTTCCTTATCTACAAGTTGACCAAAGCAAAACACGCAACCACAAAGGTGAGCCGGCGGAGCCGCCATACCGGAGAACCCCGCCGCTAGTGAGTTTTTATTTTTTTCTGCCAATTGAGACCCTTAACGTGTTTTCTTATAGGAATTGATACAAAACCAGTCGAAAACAACCGACTCGAGGCAAACCATCGCCGGAGCACGACGGAGCTGCCGTGCCAAAATTTCAGAATTGGCCAAAAAGGGGTCATAACAATGATTTTGGATTTTTTGGGATATTTCTAGATACTTGAATCACGTTTTAATCCTTGAAGAAAAATTCAGGAAATCTGGAGACCGCTAGTAGGCGCAGCCAACAAGTTTAGCATTTCAGACATCAATTTGAGTAAGAATCTCTCACATTATTCTCTATTATAGAATTAAAGTCCAATTAATAATAATAATACGGTATTTTGGACAATTTAAAAAATATCCATGATTAATTATAAGTCACTAATGGAGCTAGAACCATGAAATTATTCACTGTTGATTCTGTTAAGTTATTTTACAATTTGAATGCATAATAATATCTGATTGATTGATCTTATAGCTCGAATGCATGTATTACTTGCTTCATGTGATTATGGTTGAATTGAGAAATTAAAAATTAAAAGAAATAAAAAAACTGTTTGATTAAGTGAATGGATGAAACAACAGGCTTACTGGATATCCTGGGAGATGGTGGATGGACCGGGTACATAGGGAGCCCTACTGTGAAAGTTGCCTCATACTGGACAGGGTATCGAGGTGTGGTAATTTGGCGCTCATATCAGACGGGGTATGGGGATGGACCGTTTCACTTTCATACTAGATGGGGTATCGAGGTTTAGTAATTTAGCCCTCATATCGGATGGGGTATGAGGACGGCCCATTAATTGGAAATATTAAAGGAAAGGGTTCGCGCATTGTGGGGACATCCCTATGGACCCCAATGGATACCAGTATGCTGATAAAAGAGAAAATTGTTATTCCAACCGATTGCATATGAAATTATAAAATGTGCTCTGTTATTGTCTCTATAGGTTGTTTTTAAAAATCTCGCTACGGTAAGTAGGCGATAAATAATTTTATTTATGAGAAACGATTTTGCTTAATTAAGAGCTTTATTAGTTATTTTTATGATTCTACCAACCTTCATTTCTGTGTCGGTGAGTAGAGTGATATTCTTACTGGCTATTGTAGCTCATTTTTTCATTAACTATTTCAGATCAAGAGGACCAAGATCCAGAACCTGATCCATATGAGGATTACAAGTAGAACGTTCAGTCGTTTACTTTTAATTTATTTATTTGGTTATTAATCGTTCTTTTAGAAGGGTTATTCCTATAAGCCTTATTTGGTACTTTCAGTTATTGTGTAAGGAATGCAAACTCTAACTATTTATTTTGCTTATGCACTAAATTTATAATTTATTTCCTTTAGAATTTCTGAAGTCGTTACAGTTGGTATCAAAGCTGCGTTCCTCGGAATCGTTCCTTACACAAAATCCTTAGGAAACACCAAAAATAATGAATTATCACTCAACTATTCCTTGTGAAATGCAGGTATAGATAGATGAGGAGATGAAAAACCCCACTAAACCGAGCACCTCGGGAGGGTTCGCTTCGAGAGGATGTTGACAAGTTATTTGAGATGTTAGAGAGACTCATCGCTGCCCAGCAGGCTTGGGAGAAAAGGAGGGAGTTACCTGACCCTCCCCCACTGCCACAGGTTGAGCCACCCCTGCAACGAGAGGATTCTGAGCCACCCAGATACGACCCTGTTCCTCCATAGTACCACCCAGCACCACCA